TATATATATATATAATATGTATGCCGGCTAAGAGAAGTAAATTATAAATCTGGTTGGTTATTTGTATAAAGATCCTTTTATAAAACTTATAACATATTTTTTAAATGTTTACAATAAATTAATTGAATGATTTTGATACATATATAGATAGTGGAAACTGATAGAGAACATATAAGCATGTAACACAATGGAAATCGATTTGGACCCTCCATCTTTTCATTGCTTACACCTTGCGAATGGAGTGATAATAATACATATACATTTTTATCCTAGCCATTAGATTCGTATCGAAACCCCACTGATGTGTCATTGATGTAATATTCCATCTCTCATTATGGTTTGTTTGTAGTACCACACTTCATACTATACCAAAAGGACCAATACAACATGGCTAGCTAGCTACCAAAAATTTCCATTCCAAAATCATGCCACTTTTTATAACAACCCAGTAAAATCCTATAAGTGGGTTCAGAAAGGGTAGTATATACGCAGACCTTATCCCTATCCGAGAGGATATAAAGATACTTCTTAGGATCTTAGATTTATTTATTTTTCTCTTAGGGGTTGTTTGCTATGAGGATATGTAATAATAATCTTGGGATAAAATGCGGGATATTATTAATTTTGCGTTTGATTGAAATATTTTTTATTCTTGTATAAATTATCTCAGTATTTTCTCTACAATTGTGGTATGATTATTATACCATACTTTATGGGGACAATAATTCAGGGATTACTTATCGTACAATAAAATAATAAAATAAAATATTAGTCACTTTCTCACGATCTTTAAGAAGTTCTAGGTTAAATTTGAAGATAAAAGTTTATCCAAATTTATCTTGTGTAAATAAACCACATATTTTACAGTATATGCCTTATATCTTCTTCTTTTTTTGTCCAAAAAACTAACATCTATCAATAAAAATATATTTATTAATTATAATTCTATAATAAATTAATCTTTGTATTATAATCCTTATATAGTTTCACAAATCAAATGATCCCTTTAGGGTTTTGTTGGGTGAAGGTGTCTTTCAATCTTTTTTTACATGATTCACACTTTAATATGTATTTAGAGAAAAAGTGGTCTTTTCCTCGCTGTAACCCTACCTTTCCAAATATTCCTCGAATAATTGAAGATGCATGAAAAACGAACGCTCTAATATTATTCGTTTGATCATAATATTCAATAGCAAAAGAAAATAGCTCGATTTCTACGACTTTCTTTTTCTATCTATCCTTTTCTGACAGTGTTAATGAGAATCTCATGTATTATGCATCGAAAGTTTTCCTAAAAGAGTGTTAAGTATTTACCACGATGCTACTATGCTAAGACTTGACGCTATTTGACGATGACCAACACAATATTTTTGAATTTAATGTGGCATTATTTTTCCGAACTCGGAAACAGTTTTTACAAATTCAATATTTGAGATTTTGCAAAAAAGTATTTGTTTGAACAGTTTTTCATATTTTTCCTTTTGCAAGACCTAACGAAATATCAGCTTGGAAACTTCCAAAATATCTACTCCTTTTTTTTGCAAAAATTTTATCAAACAAACCCTTTTTACCAAATTAAACAAGAACTTAGTCTGTGAAAAATGTTTTGGAGAGTTTGGAACTAATGGCACCTAAAGGAAGTTGCAATTGCATAGGATAACAATTTGGGTTTTATAATTAGTGTTTACCCTAAAAAATGGATAACAATTGAATTTATATGTGGTTTTAAGGATATGCGGATTAATTCAATGTAAATGATAAAAAGTGTTAGATTAAACAGATAAAGACGTAATAAATTGTCAAACCAATTAAGGGGAGTGACCCCGGACTCAGTAACATCTTAATGAAATATCTGCCTTCGATTCCGGGCTCACACTAATGAAGAACTGATGAACAAAAGTAAGAACTTTGAATAACAGAGAAAATAAGACTATATTACCTTGATATGCGTGTTACAATGTGTGTGTATGAATAATAATCTTTTCCTTTTATATAGTAGGAGAGTTTTACCGTAAGTACAATTCTAAAACAGGTAAAAATCTTCCGTTTCGCCGATCACCGGTACGAGCCGAGATTCGCGCCGTGATATTCGATTAGGCACGGACATCACGACCCTTTGTTAGTCGTGCGCAGCTACTTGGTAATATTCTCCGGATTCTTCAATCCTCAAGTCGGTCAACGAGGATATGGCCCCGATATCCCCGAGGGTAGGTTCCTTGCCCGAGCCCTAATATCAGGGGTTCTTCGTTCTGACTTCGATATAATACGGTCATGTTCCTGTTCCGATTGGCTCACCGGGAAGATGAGTCATGCAGCGGGCTCGGTTTTTCCCGTTGATCTCATCCAAGTTACACCTCTATTCGGGGTTGTAAATCGGTCGATTGCAATAATAATACCCAACAAGGAGTCGAGATCGAATCCACAGGGAGCTGAGAGGGGATTAGTGATATA